GTCTCAAGGACAATGTACGTATTATTTGGTTGTAAGACTGCTATTGTTGTGTTCTACAAATTTTCTCAAAAGGAGTTTTGGTTGTAAGACTGCCATTGTTTGTGTTCTACAAATTTTCTCAAGAGGAGTTTTGATGCATGCATGCATTTAAGGTGTCAACCCTTCACTTGTCATTAATAAGAATCAGTAACTATTGCGAACTTCTTCAATTTTTATTTTTTTATTTTTCTCACTGTGTTTTATGGTTGGTTTCAGTATATCCTCAAGGTGGGTGAGGGTGCTGCTGCTCAATGCATTAGTGGATTCTCGGCCTTGGATGTGGCCCCTCCTCGTGGTCCTCTCTGGTATGTACTAGTTTTGAGCCTAGAAATCTATAGTCATCGATACTGTTTTTCTCCGATGATCCTGTTTTTCTCTCCTCTCTTATCATGCTTATGAAAGTATATTTGGTTTCATGTGATTGTGCAATGAGTTTTAAAAATTGAAGCCTCATTTTACTCGAACAAAATCAGCTACTTACGGAAAAGGAGGCCTTCTCATCTGATGTGTGCTTGGCTATTGCAGGATTCTTGGAGATGTTGTCCTGGGGGTTTACCACACCGTGTTCGACTACGGCAACTTGCGAGTCGGATTTGCAAAAGCTGCCTAAACGAGAATCCCACAAACAAAACCGTTTGCTTCTTCTAGTTAATCAATAGATTAATCACGGTCTTTAATGTTATGATGTGTATATGTGTATGTCCACACAGATGATATGCTTGATGCTTCTAAAATGAAACCATGTTTCTTGATAAACGTTTATTGGCCAAACATTTGTTGCGGATAAAAGGTTGCATACAAGCTCATTTTTTGCATTTGAAAAACCGTAGGTTTTAAAAAATGCTAATCCGATCCAGATCGGGAATCATTGAGGGAACAGGTTCCGTTAAATACCAAGAACCGGCCGATCCCCCCTTCTAGATGATTATCTGACGGTTCAGCAATCAGATCGCCGATGTGCTGAACCAGATCATAAAACTGGATCGCAGTGTTTAAAAAACTCCTCTTTGAGGGAGCTTCCTTACCTTTTATGAGAGGTTAACGCAGATTCGCAGTGTAAAAAACCTTGGAAAAAATTCCTCTTTATGGGAGCTGATTTTGTAAATGACCGTTTATGGAGAAGAGCCTGGTAGCGAATGTCTTCGTATCAAAGTTGGGAGCGGAGCGGAGCGGAGCTGAGCTGATATGAGAGAATCGTATCTACGTTCGAGGAGCCAGAAATGGTTTTCGGTGCGATGTTGGACAGGAAATTTTTACATCCACCCTACGAAATATGGACGCATGTTTTGAGGGTCTCACTACGTGATAACACTCGGTGGATATATATTTAAGAAAGTTAAACTTACATGACAAGAAAATGCACTAACTCGTACATCACTTTCTACGTATGACATGATACACAAAATAAATATAAGATTTTTAATGATCTCTATACTCTTTCTCAAATTTAGGTCGGTTGAACATCAATTTGTTAACGAGGTAGTCAAGATGAGCATGTATTTTGGTTTAAATATCAATTTGTCAATGAGATGGTCAAGATGAGCATGAATCTTGGTTTAAAAATCAGCAAGCTTTAATTTGTGATGCAATGTGTGGTTTGTGATGCAATGTGTATTTGTGATGCTATGTGTGGGAGTGTAACTTTTTCAGTCAGAAATTTTTCACAAATGAAATTACAATCTATATCGATATGCTGTGTGCGTTCATGGAACACTAGATTAGAGGCAATTTGTATGGCATTCATATTGTTAGCCTATAATGGCATAGAAGATCGATGAATAATATTTAGGTCATGTAAGAGACCTCTCAATCAAGTGATTTCATTGCAAGTTGATGAGTATTGAGCTTCTGCAAAAGATTTCAACACCTGGATAGAAGAGTTAGACGAGAAGAACAATCCTCTATGGCACGTACTCGGCAGATACCAACATCGGGATAGAAGAGTTAGAGGAGAACAATCCTCTATAGCGTGTACTCTGCAGATACCGAATGATACGGTGGACAATCGAGGGGTGAATAACTACCTGCATTGCATCTGATTTATCAGAACGAGTCATAGTGAGGTATCAGAACGAGTCATAGTGAGATAAGATCTAAAATTCTATCCTCATCATTCTTTCTATATTTTAGATTCACCTCCATTAGTATATCCACCCGTTTATCATCAACTAAATTGGCTAATTTGATCAATTTTTTGGTGTATTTCTTTTGGTTAACTATATATTCATTAGTGGAGTAATAAATCTCTAAGCTAAGAAGGTAAGTCAACGGACTCATATCTTTCATTTTAAATGAGTAACTGAGAAGTTATTTTAAATGTTGTATATTGTCATTGTTGTTTCTTGTGATAAGGATATTACCAACATTTATGAGAAGAATTGTTATCCATGATAAACTAATATTGGGTAAATAGCAAATAGTCATAAACACTTTATGTGAACCCAGCATCCAAATTCACTTGTTGAAACCAGCACTTGGATATTGTTTTAAGTGATACAAGGATTTCTTTAAATGATCGACTATGGACTTGTCATAACAATACCCGATAAGAGGTCACATACATATTGTCTCTTCAAATGTCCATGAAAAAATATATTTTTCACATCCAAATGAGAGATAGGCACCTCATATAACTTTTTTCTTCGTTTCTAGAGATTATCGGCCTTGAGAAATTGTATGAAAATATGATCCCTACCAAAGATTCAAACAATACTCAATATAGGAATATGATATGAAATTAAAAAACAATTTATCTTGGACAATTTGGTCATAATGTAGTTAACATCGACTTAAATTAAGAATTTGGTCCACAATTTTTATTTTTTTGAGTAAATTTCTTTTAATTGATTGTAACCTTTTATAAAATCACAAAACAGGGTCAAAACATCTTAGTTAGCGATCATATAGTTTAATTTTTCATTTTACTCACGTATCTCCTCAAAAAAATATCTTCAAAATATTCACATTAATTTTATTTAGGGTTGTAAACCTTTTGTACTTTAACCTAGATAAGAGGCCCCCATCCAAATACAGGAGTACCATTACTTGTTCATGATGGGTGAAAGTTCTAAAATCCATTATGCATTTAGGTTCTCAGTCCTAAACAAGCGGAATTTGGGTATTGTTTACGATATTTTGAGGTACCTAAGTTAAAAGGAAACAAAAAGTTAAACTTTCTACTAATTGGGATCTTTTGACAACCCTTAATGATTTTGTAACTTGTTTTGACCCCTTAATGATATTTTCCCATGTTTATTTTTGTATAAAATTAGGCTAAGATGTAATAAATGAAAATCCCATATGAGTAACTAAAGATATAACAAGGTAAGAAAGACTTCATTTTTTTTTTTTGGGTGGGAGGAGATCCTGATTATTCTAGACAATTTTTGGGTACTTTGTACTTAAATTAACCATTTTTTTAGTTTTTTTGCATTATAATGTTTTCTAAAGATCTTAGTTAATTATTTTCTTTTATTTGCATTATAATGTTTTTAAAATATTTCATCTCTATATCTAATTATGATATTTTTTTTCTTTTTTTTGTAGTTTTTGTATTAGATTATGAATTGGGAGAGGTTAATTGTTTTTGTATAAGGGAACTAATATGGTGGAGAAGAATTTTTATAGAGTTTTAGATTATATACAGCTCAACATGATCCATCTTGAGAGGTATTTGTATGAATGGT